TTACATATTTATTTATTTATTTATATATTTATTTATTCGCTTATCTATTTATTCTATTATATTTATTCTATAAATATATGTTAAAATAAGATCATTCGAAATTTGATACTTAAAATAGAATTCTATATAACTAGAGATAAGGCCCATATAAATTTTCTCCTTTGTGTTACTGACCTGTATTATAAAACTAAAACTAGGTGACTAAATAAGTAATAAAAAAGTAACCTACTTATCTAGCTTATTTGGTTAATTATGCAAAATAATCAAAACTTGCAATAAATATACATATTAAAATACATTTTTACAAAAACTTGTGATTAAAATACAGTAAGAAGTAATAATAGAAATATTACATAAAAAAATCATTAACAGTTAAAATATAATAGTGATCACGTATGTATGCTTAAGTGCCCAAACTAAGTTTTTAGAAAATTTAATTATATAAAATGAATAAAAAGTCTATAAAGAATTTTATCATTGTTTTTTTTTTCTCCTTAGATTTTTCTCTTTCAAAACTAAGTTAATTTAAATTTAGTATATACCAATTTTTTAATTTAAGCTATGTAGTAATAATAATTTAACTAAATAAGTATTAATTAATTAACTTACCATTACATCTTTCAAGAAATCTAAAGAGTCTTGCGAACTAGATGTATGTAGTATAAGCTAATTTTTTTGATTTAGTGATTATTAATAAATTTAATCCAATCATTTAAGATTATATAATTACTAGAAGTAAAATATAAAAATATAACAAAATTGAATTATATGATCTGAATTTGATTGGTTAATTGCTTTTCTTAGCTTTTCTTCATTATAGATTGCTTATGAACCTTTATAAAACTGCTTATAAGTTGTATTGATTTTTTTACTGATTATTATTAATTTTTTATAATTACCAAATTCTCATCAAAAATTCTAACATATATATACGTACGTGATCCAATTTTTACATAATTTTAAAATAGCTAATCATATAAAGGCTTTATTTTATTTTTTTTATTCAGGTTACTTGATTAGAATGATTATGATCTGAGCTTAATCTCTACATGAAACATTAAAGTTTGCAAACTTACAACTCAGATCTAGAATTGATTAAGAATTGTTCAAAGATATTAGAAGTTTGTAACAGCTTTTATTAAAATAGTTATCTGTTTATGTCTTACCGAATTAACTTTTATTTCTAAGTTGGTGACTTACTATTTGAAATATGCAACTAAAATAGATTAATACCTCAAGCTTGTATTAATGTTCTGGTATAGCATCATCTTATTGTGATTCATACCTTATATAATTTTTCTATAAAATATATATAATTTAGAGCAATCTTAATTTTTCACTTTACAAAGTTATTAAGGTTTGAATAAATTCTACACTTTTCAAAGAAAGTGTATAAAGCTTGCCAGTAACAGTAAAATAAAAAATGATAAATAAATTAGCCAATCAAAAATAATTCATGATAAGATATAATCGACGCTTTATCCAAGATATGATCGATACATTTTCTGAGATAAATCAATAGCCAATCAAAATGAACTTCTGCTATGCTAAGTTAGATAAACAGAGTATTTAAATAGGTAACTCACAAGTGGGTTATAGGTATAGCAGCTTGTGTAGAATCTAACAGATGATCTACTTGTATAGCAGACTACTTAAATTAAACAATAACTAAAGTTATACGTGTAGCAGGTTATATACTCTTCAGATAATTATAAACTATAGGGGATTGTCAACAGATGACCTTATATATTAAACTAATAAAATCTGCTTGATATAGTAAGCTACTTTTATTAAAAAAAAAAAAATTATATTGTGAAACATACTGGGTATCTATTTATAATACAACAAATTCTATTGTAAGCATTAGACCTGCAATTGATAAGGTTTAAAATTAATATATAATTATTTAATATGCTAAGTAAAATGTAAATCTCATTTTCAGATATTTTATTTCACAAAAGTAAAATATATGAAATTGAATATTCACATATTTTTTACTTAGTAGGCCTTATTCCTAAAATTATAATTTTTTTTTTTGTTTTAGATTCTTAAAGAGCAACTTAATATATTCACTAATAAAGAAGTATCTAAAATCACTTATGATGAAAATAATATTTTTTATACTTCATGCAAGAGAATTTTCTTAATTTTTGAGCTACTTAAGCATGTAATTAATCTACTTAAAAGTTGTATAGCAAGCTTGACTTATTGTTTTATAGAAATAGTTCAAATAGCAGCTGCTCTCAAGAGAATACCTACTAGTAACAATTTTTATACCTTTGCCATTAGAGTATTCAACTTTTGATACCAACAATTTGATATTTTCTTGTATCTTCTTACCTATTTTTTATATTCAAATTACAGAAATCATAGTCTCAAAAAAGGAAAATTTTATTATATTTGTGAATTAGCAGTCAAATATTATAAAGGCTCTCATCATAGTAAAAAAGAATATCATAAATTAGTAGATCAACTAATCAAATATAAAACAAGAGTTGCACTCTAGGATCTTGAATATACTTTCAACTTAACTCTTTCTATATGGTGGGGTGTTATTGAAGATGAACATACATACTTACAAAAACTAGCCTAAACTATGCTTGCAATTGTGCTTTTACAGGCCAATTGTGAGTGAAATTTTTCAGTTTTAAAATAGTTTAGTGAAAAATATTATACACACCTTCAAGTTTTATAATTAGAAAATATAGTACAAATATACTCTTTCTATGATTTAAATGCTAAAAAAGAGTTAAAATTTTATGATAATAATTTTGTAGAAATGGAATTACTTAATAGTATATTAAATGAAATAATCTTTGCAGAAATAAATAGCTTTGATTTAAAATATGAAAGTAGAGAAAATGAAATTAGGCTTTATTTATTAGCATCTGGATGTAGTAGTTCTGCAATAGATATATTAGCAAATCTTGGAATCTCAGC